CATAGAATGTTACTGGAAAAATCCTGGCACTTACACATACTGGATCTTAAGTCCTACAAATAAACCTGCAGTTATAGATGTGAAGCTACACCAAAACTACACCCTCCTTTGGTATGAGATTTATGATAAAATCTGTTACCAGGGAACATATTCATCATGAAAAAAATAGTACTTTGCTGCTCAAGCAATGCTCTCTATCAAATCTGGTTCAGATGCAATATGAATTCATATGTGGCAGAACCTGCCCTATTGCATGGACAATAAAAGATCAGTGTTTTAATTTTCAGCTACTCACTATTATATGGATCATCTGAAGGTAAGTTTTGGTTATGAACTTCACATCTATAACTGCAGGTTTATTTGTAGGACTTAAGATCCAGTATGTGTAAGTGCCAGGATTTTTCCAGTAACATTCTATGGATGTGAAAGAATAAAAGGGTTAAAAATCTATGTTATAATTTGCAAGGTTTAAGGTATCCATTTTGTCCCTTAAAACCTCCCAAATGACAAACCTAGGCTAAAAACAGATGCTTCAAAACTGCCATGAAAATCCACGGTTATCCAGAAGTCCGCAGGAAAGAGAGAAAAAATTGTAGCCTACATTTGTGCTGCAGATGATTTATTTTTTTTAAAAAACTTGAAATAAGGAAAGGAGTCTAAGACAAGTGTCCCAGAATACTGCATAGCTTTCATATGCCTCATGCAACTTTTTATCCAGCAATGCAAAAAAAATAAATAAATCACTGACTTAAATTGTGTGCGATTGTCACAGAAAGGCAATTCAGCCAGTTCCTTATTTGCTTACACTCAATAAACAGAATTTTGCCAATCTAAACCTATACTACTTTCAGCATAACGGACATACATAACCTCAGAGATTTTAAGGAATGCCTGTTTACTCCCTTCCATTGTCTCCTATCCATCTCCAGGCTGTGCTGCCTCTTGTCTAGCCCCCTTTCTGGGATTTGTTCCCTCCTTTCTGGAAAATTGCTGTTTCACAGTAGTCCATCGTACCGGCTTCCCTTCCATGGGCACCATCTCTCACAACTATGAATTATGTATGAATGCATTGGCTAAATAACTGAAGATGTCGTAAATGAAAATTACACTGATGCCTCTGATAGAAAAACATTAAGATTAGGTACTTTGCCCAGTTACTCTATAAAAAGGCCAGGATAGACAGGAAATTGAATTTGTATCTCGCAAAATCCATGAGGCCCCAAAGGCCATTTTTATTTTGGATAGTTCAAGGAATGGCACTTTTGTTTTTCATCACAGGATCAGGCTTGAGATATTTTAATCGGAGAGTTACAAAATCTGAGCTAAGGTCAAGTCCACCCATCGGAAGAAAGCAATGTCCAACCACTTCCATTCTCTGCCAAGAGCATTATATGCAGTGGTGGGTTTCAAAAAAAATTCGAATCTACTCTGTGGGTGTGGCCTCCTTTGTGGGAGTGGCTTGCCGGCNCTTTTTCTTTCTTTTTTCTTTTTTTCTTTCTTCCTTTCTTTCTCTTTCTCTTTCTCTCTCTGTGTGAGTCTGTCTGTGTGTGTGTGTGAACTGGTTCTACCGTACTGGTGTGAACTGGTAGGAACCCTCCTCTGGTTAACATATACCCTTTGTTTTCCCAGTACTGAATTTGAGAGCCATAACTACACTGAAGTGGCATAGAGGAATTACATGATTCTTATGGATATGGGAAGTATTGTATATGAAGGGTAGTTTGGGGAAACTTGGCTGAGCATCATCCTTTGGCACCTGCAGGCAAAGTGTGGAGTACACCCAAGAGAGCATGAGTACTTCTATCCAGCGTGTGAAGGAGCTGAATTGTGATTTGGGAGGCACAGAGATTATGGCGCCCCTGAAGGCCATTTACAGCCAGCCGTGCCTTGAAGGACATTCTCGACAGGTATTTAAAGTTATAACAAGGTTATCTTTTCTTTCATACAGAATCAAGAGTAAGCACACCCACAAAAAGATTTACAATAAAAGGGTATAGTAATGCTCACATTCAGAAGTATGAGGAGAATTTGCTATAGGTTGTAGATATTTTATATATACAGTATATGCTCATTATGTAATTTCCTTTCAAAATAAGTAAATTTATGCAAAAGAAAGAAAGATAAAAGCATGAGAAACTGAGAGCAAAGCTTCCTGTTTGAAAATCATGTAGGAGTTTTGAAACAATTGTGCAATATTTTGCACTTACATGATCCATTGGCGTCCAAAAATGAATGGGTGGTGACTGGTGATTTATCTATATAGAAAAAAAGGTCTGCTTATTCTCCTGTGCACTGCTTGCTTGGAGAATCAAGCATGGGTTAAATTCAGCCAATTAGCCTAGAGACTGAGTTGAAAAAAGTCTTGACTTGTCTTCTAGAAGCCAGTTTTTTAATTCAGTCTAGCCTGAGAGACATATTCAAGATTTTCTCCAACTCAGTTTCAATGTTAAGGCAATGAATCCATTTTTAGAAGCTCTGCTTATTTTTATATATTGCTTTACCTATGACCCTACTCATACAGGTAAATGAAAGAGCAATTCTAAATCCAAGATGGATTTGATTATTTATAATAAATGAGTGAAAGACTTAGTGAAGGATTCCATACTTCCATACAAGAAGACATTCTGTAATGGGATAAACATTTTTTTTTTTTGGTAATGTCAAGAAGGAATTTTGGGGAAATGGCAAGGGAAAGAAAAGAAAGAAGTGAAAACTGGAGTAAAAATAGAATGACTGCAGAAAAATAATACAAAATAAGCTATAAAAAATATCATTAGGAGATTGGCTAATCTCCCAGAAGAATAAATGGGAAATGGACCAAAGAAAGAATATGTGACAGTTCTTTGGAAATGAATAAAAAGTGCCTTAGAAATACATAGTTTTATGTTAAAAGCTAATATTAAATGATGATTGATAGAATGGTGAAACAGAAGAAATTGTATACAAGGAAAAATGCTTTGGACAGAACACTAAATAAAGAGTGAAGGGTAGTGTGTAGTGTACATATAAAACAAAAGAGAGAAAATTAAGTTTAAAGCAGGCAGTGGGGAAGCGCTGCAAATTTGATGGAAAGAACACAACGGAACAACAATGTGTGCACAGTCAGGAGTCCACTCTACAAAGAATGGTGCCCACCGTATAGAGAATCAGTTCTGATTAAACAGAGCTTTGTTGTCTTCTAGTCCTGTCATCCTTTGAAATTAGCCATAATTTCTTATTAAATTTCTTCTCACCTGCTTCCAAATAGTTTGGTGGTTGGACTTCATGTCTCTCTCCATTTTCACAGCTCTTTGTGTTCACTGATGGAGAAGTGAGTAATACAAATCAGGTCATTGGTGAAGTTAGGCGTAATAGTGGCTCTCACAGGTAAGCGAAGAAAGATAAATTGTTTTCTTGATGTTTATTTTTCTGGCTTCCATCAGCTTCTATCCTCTTCCCCCCCCTCTCTCTCTCTCCCCCTCCCCTTCTCTTTCTCTCCCCCTCCCCT